GGGCAGGAAAAGTCTGCATTGGGGTGGGGTGGGGTGTGTATGTGAGTTTTCTGTGCCTTTTTCTGGATGGACTTAATTTTCTAAACCACCTTTGTATTAGCTCATCTAAAAACCTTTTGTTCTCCAGGACATCACAATTGGCCTTCTGGGGCCATGTTTTTCTTTTTCAGGGTGGTATTTGTTTGTTTGTTTGTTTGTTTTGTTTTCTGTTTGTTTGTTTGTTGTTTTTCAAGACAGGGTTTCTCTGTGTATCAGCCCTAACTGTCTTGTTGCTAGCTCTTGTAGACCAGGCTGGCCTCGAACTCACAGAGATCAGCCTACCTCTGCCTCCTGAGTGCTGGGATTAAAGGTGTGCGCCACCACCGCCCAGCTCTGTTTTTGTTTTGCTTTGTTTCGTTTGCAGATTTTTCCAGTTACTTTTCTGCAAGTTAATTTATATGCTTTGAAATAGTTGATGAAGCAACAGATCCTATTTGTAGTAGAAATAAAGTAGGGAATTGCTGAAGTCACTAACTATTGTAGGCTCTAAAGATCACCCAGTAGTTAACGTTGTTTAGGAGGGGCTGACTTCAGTTAAACATTAAGGATAGACAGGAGGAATGGGCAGCGGGGATGTGGAAGGACTGGTTATGGTCATCGTTTAGGTGAGGCTTACTTCGGTCTAAACTTTAAGGATAGACAGAAGGGGTGGGCAGAGGGGATGTTGAAGGACTGGTTCAGAGGAACCTGTGTTACAAAACAAATTGAAAATAAGCCCTTTGAGATTGTCCCAAGCGGTGTATATCTGCCATCTTTTACTGGGGAGGTGAAGGCAGGAGTTTGAAGGAAGCCTGGGTGACATGCTGAGATCTTGTTTCACAGGAAACAAAGCAGTAAAACAAAAAGAGGGAATTGCCATTGCTGTCATGGAAAAGTGTGCACACTTGTATTTGGGAGAGGGCAGAGGTCAGTAGACAGGCTACTTGCCTTGGGATATGGGAGGGAAATGAGGAAGACCTAGCTGTAGATACAGTGTTAGGTTTCTTGTAGTGTTTGATAATGGTTTGAAGAAGGACGCTTAAAAGAAATCCCGCACTAGTTCAGAATTGAATATAATAGAGGGATATTTATTTAGGGGTAGACTCACAGATCACAATGCTTTGCTCGAATAGGGAACAGCAACCAAATGCCACAGCCAGAAGAGAGAGAGAACAGACCCACACTTTACATCAGCACATATGTATATGAGGCCCCGCCCAAGTGGGCGGGTAACTTAAAGGCTACTGGCTGCAGGAATTACTACAGCAGTGGTTGTTGATTTCGACCAAGGAGGCACACTCCTGGAGTTCAGCATATTTGAAGTCACCAGCAGGTGTGATCGGAAGGAACAGCCGGCCTAGAGGGGAAGCCCTTGATGTGTTGTCCTAGAAGCAAAATGAAGAGAGAGTTGGAATGATTATGTTAAATGTTCTAGGACCATTGACATGAGGACTAGTTGACCATTACATTTATCATTGTGGAGATTATTAAATACAGGTTATAGGAAGCCATTGCTTTGGACTCGAGCTGTTGTGCTGCCCCACACCCTACCCCCAGATCAGACAAAAAGAAAAAAATAAAATCAAAATGGCCAATCTTGCCACAGTGTGCCATAATGTTCCACATATCCAAACTGAAACTAAGTAGTTACCTGGCCTGAGAAGTCAGGAGGATGAGAGAGAATGGAATTTCCCAAATTAGCTGTTCCCTGGGCTTCCAGCCCTACATGCTTAGTGTTTCCAAATAATAACATGAACTAATCTGATGTTACAGTTACTTCCTTTTGCTCTGTCTCTCTGCCCCGACCTTTGGCAGAAAGTAACTTTGAAATGACCAGTCTGCTTTCGCTGTTTCTGCTCAGTGGTCAGTCTCTCTAGCTGTAAAGTTCCCTTCTCTGCAGCCCACTGAAACACTTGGCTTAGTTTATGGAATGAAGTGTTGCTCTATTCCAGAGTTGAAAATAAAGATAACTTAAGGTTTTTCCATTGTAGCTTTGTTGTTTGAGGAGGTCATTGGCCGTGTTGAAAAGAGACAAAATCCCGGTCACTGCTTTCTTTGTTCAGATGGCCTCATCATGTGTCTTTGACTCATCTTCCTTTGAAGAGCTCAGCTCAACTATTTCTTGTCCCTAATTAGGGAAATAAACAAATAAATTTACTTTTATTGCAGCACGTATCTTTCTTGGCTGTTGTGTTGCAAATGCAGTATTCACTTATGTTTTCCATAGTTTGATTGGCACCTGGCCCCGGTAAAGGCCGAGCACCTGAGAGCAGCGACAGGGTCTGGTTCGCGTAGGTTGCTGGGTTCCCAGCACAGACTCAACAAATGCTTGCTGTTGTTGCGTGCGCTGACCCTTGTTTGTTATCCCAGCACTCTGGAAGCTGACACAGGAGGATCAGGAGTTCGAGACCAGATTGAGTACTTAGCAAGACCTCGTTGTGGGAGAAGGGCAAGGTCTGAGTAAGCATCGCACCAGTGGACAAAAACACTTTATCCCAGTACTTTCCAAAGTACTACATATTGCTCATGAAAAAAACGAGGTGGCTGATGGATGAAAGACAGTGTAATGAAAGCATTTTAGAAAACTGTATATTCTATGAGCTATCTATTAAGACATCTGCAGATCAAATAATTCTTAAACTGTGATTCAGTGGAACCAACTTCATAAAACTACCAAGACCAAGTGCATCCACAGATGCAGCTTCAAGATCCCTTCCTCGTCCGTTCTTCTCTCTTTCCTAGTGACCTCTTCTAGGGGCAGTTCACAGTAGAATTCATCCTCCTCTTCCAGCGTCTTGCACAATTTCACCCTTTTCTACTGTGTCACCATCGCTCGTTACCATAGTTTACTGAGTCCTGCAGCATTGTAATACCAGTTTTAAATACCATCCAGCCGCTGGCCTGACGCCGCCACAGCTGGCCTGCCCAGAAACCCGGGAAACAGTTTAGGATGGTTGTAATCAGAATAACAAGCTCCAAAGTCTCTGGGAGAGGCTCTAAAACACGGTAAAAGCTAGCACAAGTGTCAGTGGTGAGCGGTGGTCCCTTTGCTAAGAGCAAAGGCTCTGTGATGGCCGTTCTTGGTTGTTAACTTGACTGCATCTGGAATTAACTGAAAACCAGCGACCGGATGCACCTGTGGGGATTTTTAGTTGATTGGATTGTTTGAGGTCGGAAGACACCCTAAATTTGGGCCACACCTTCTCATAGCAGCCTGTATAAAGACAGGGAAGAAAGAAGCTTCTGCATTTCGCCTGCTTGCCCTCCTTCTCACTGGCAAGTTCATCTGTCCTGCTGCTGAGGCCTTCCTTCTCTGGCATCAGAGCCTGCTTCTTTGGGATTCCTGTGGTACACACTGAAGAGCAGCTGAGACAGCCATCCTCGTGGACTGAACGACTATGGGGTTCCTGGACTTCCTATTGAGAGACGGCCATTGTTGACTAGCTGGACCACAGCCTGTGAGCCACTCTAATAAATCATATATATATATATATATATATATGGATGGAAGTT